GTAACATTTCAAGCTTTCGGCCGCCATTTTCAATGCCGCCATCATGAATTTTGAAATGAGTATGTGCACATTTTAAAGTTTAGAGTTCATGGACGCTGTATTTTGACTCCTCAAGACCATCCTAATGTTGTTTTGATGTGAAAATATCGCTTAAAAAAAAATTTGAGTGAAAAATCACGGTTTTTTTCCAAAAAATCGACTATAATTTTTTTAATTTTTTTGGACTTTATTTATGACAAATTCTGATGGCAGATTCTGAAAGAGCAAGAAATTTTACATCAGAAATGATGTTGCTAGAATTTTTTCAAGGCCATTAAAATAAAAATTAAGCCACTGAAAATTGTTCAAAAAATGTGTCCGCCTGGACGTTAATGGGTTAAAACGGCAAATTAATCCAATATCTCGACAGATTACGTTTCCCTAATTTTGTTGCTAAATTTTTTACATGAGTAAAAAAATTATTTTTTATGTAATTAATAGCTAGTAAAAACAGAATTCTTTGTCTGCGACTTTTAATAATTGTTGTAAAACAAATATATAATATAATATACAGTAATGGGAGAAAGTTCCGTAACGATCAAACATCTTGGAAAATAATGATTATGGCAGAAAATGTTCAATACAAAAGTTTTAGTATATCAAGTGATTTATTATATGGTTATATTGAAATGACCTTCATGTGACCTTGAAGAACACCGTGAAGGTCAACTTTCAAATCTTAAATGAAAACTCCTATTTTCTATTACATATTCTTAAAGCTGGTGTCAAGACGTTTCCGAAACACTGGTTACAAACCCTTTTTGCTTGAGATCTTCCTGAGTTACAAACCTTCAAAGTTTAAGTATCGCCGGCGCGTTATCTAAGGTGTACCGCGTGAAAGAGGGACGGTCGGATATCCACCTCTTCGAGATGCTTGATCAAAGTGAGTCGCACACACAAGGACTTACTTTGATCAAGCATCTCGAAGAGGTGAATATCCGACCGTCCCTCCTTCACGCGGTACACCTTAGATAACGCGCCGACGATACTTAAATTTTAAAGGTTTGTAACTCAGGAAAATCTCAAGCAAAAAGGGTTTGTAACCAGTGTTTCGGAAACGTCTTGACACCAGCTTTAAGAATATGTAATAGAAAATAGGAGTTTCCATTTAAGATTTCAAAGTTGACCTTCACGGTGTCCTTCAAAGTCACATGAAGGTCATTTCAATATAACCATATAATAGATCACTTGATATACTAAAACTTTTGTATTGAACATTTTCTTCCATAATCATTATTTCCAAGATATTTAACCGTTACGGAACTTTCTCCCATCACTGTATAATATAATTGTAAAA